TTAAAGCTTTCCTGACTAATGGTTGCCCTATCTTTGCACTAAGGCATTCCATGAAGGGGAGACTGAACTTATCTATTTTACTAGCTCAGTTCTAAAATTGTTCCTCCCTCTAGGATGTTGCTACTCCCATTCAGCCAGAATCTCCTCTTGTGACTGAGTTCATGTTATCATGTCTGAATAACAGTGAGAAAATATTAAACCTCTGAGTAACATTTTTCAGTTATTTGAAGTATTGATCTCCCCAAACCAGAACATTCATTTACAGATATTCTTTTTTTAATTGATTTTCTATGAAATACATTTCTTTATCAACTGAGAGATTTTGTAAGTTGGAGAAGCTGCTCCCAGATTTGTTATTATGAGACCCATAGAATAATGATCCAGGGTTTTGTCTAATGTTTTCAATGTCAATCTATCCATTTCTGCACAATCTAGAGTCTTCTTGACTATTTCTTCATCTCGTGGTACATATTCATTTTTCCAATATTGTGCAAAAATAATATCCTCACTGCTGTTAAGATATGTATTATTAAATACATACTTTTCTTATCAAGTTTTTCTGATATTATACCTAATAAAATAAATAATATATAATAATATAATAATACTACCTGATAAATAATAATATATAATAAAAATAATTCAGGTTTATAATCTACATGTTTTCTTGTCATCTTTCCTAGCCACCTGTGTATCTTTACCCTTTTTTTTTTTTTTTTGCTTTGACAGAAGTCCACCACAAACAATAGAATGTTTCCATTTTTTGGTTACATTTCCAACATTTGCTAGATATATTTTTAAACATTTTAGCTAATCTAGCAGGTGGTAGATGCCATCTATAAAACATTTAATATAAATTTCCTTTATAAGAAGTCACCATTGTTAATTTATAGTTTGTTTTCCATAAGTTTTGCAGGTAATCAGCTTGTTGTTTTCTAGGAGTTTATGAACAATCTATTTTTGTTGTTGTTGTTGTTGTCCTTTTTATTTGTCACCTGCTCTGGAATTTTCCCTGTAATTGATCAAATGTGTCAATTATATTTTGTCAGTAAAATTCTGTCAATATATGTTTGAAAATTTTGTTTTACTTCACTTATGAAAATAGTGGTAACACTTTTTCTTCTAATTAAGCATGTGTTGAACTTAGATAACTATATTTGCAAGTTAGACAGCTGTACAAGTAAGAATCAAATGTGAAAATATCATGTGGAATAAGAAACCTATAAAGCCTTAGTAAGATCACACCTAGAGTACTGCATCCAGTTTTGTTCACCACATTATAAAAAAGATGTTAAGACTCTAGAAAAAGTGCAGAGAAGAGCAACCAGGATGATTAGGGGACTGGAGACTAAAACATACAATGAACTGTTACAGGAACTGGGCTTGGCTAGTCTAGTGAAGACATGATAGCAGTGTTCCAATATTTGAGAGGCTGCCACAGAGAGGAAGGGGTCTAGCCAGTGGTGGGATTCAAATAATTTTACAACCAGTTCTCTGCACTAATGATTTCTTCCAACAACCAATTCACCAAACTGCTCAGAAAGTTAACAACCAGTTCTCCTGAACTGGTGCAAACTGGCTGAATCTCACCACTGGGTCAAGCTATTTTCTAAAGTGCCTGTAGGTCAGACAAAGAATAATGGATGGAAACTGAACAAGGAGATATTTAACCTGGAAATAAGGAGAAACTCTCTGACAGTGAGAACAATCAACCCATGGAACAGAAGTTGCCCTCGGAAGTTGTGGGAGCATTATCACTTGAGACCTTCAAGAAAAGATTGGGCTGCCATTGTCAGAAATGGTGTAGGGTCTCCTGTTTGGGTGGCAGGTTGGACTAGATGATCAATAAGGTCCCTTCCAATTCTGATTATCTGTTATCTGTTAAGCCAAGATTTCAGCTTTTAAAAATCCTGGATGTTTCCATTCTAGTTTCACCCCTTTCTGGAGAAGAATGAGTTTTGCAATCTTTCCTACTTTAAACTCTACATGGACCAAAATGGAGATGTAGCAGCAGATCTGCTCATCATGAGCTTGTTGGTTTTCCTTGAAAAGGATCCCATGACCCTGAAATTGGGGACTTTTCAAAGACAAAGACTTATGTTCTACCAAGATGCTATGTCAGAGCTAAAGTTGCTCAACAAGGTGGGTGAAATGTTGGCATTTTTCCTCTGTTTTCAAAGCTTTAGCATCCATTTCAAGTTGGCTAAGCCCATAATTATCATGGTGGATGACTTCACTGAGAATTGAATGTGGGGAATAGAAAAGCTACATTTTCCCTAGACTGCTTAGGAGGCTTCAGAATGCTGAGTGAGGTACTAACACTACTCTATAAATCCTTAGTAAGACCACATCTAGAATACTGCATCCAATTTTGGGCACCACATTATAAAAAGATGTTGAGACTCTAGAAAAAGTACAGAGAAGAGCAACCAGGATGATTAAGGAACTGGAGACTAAAACATATGAAAAACTGTTACAGGAACTGGGCTTGGCTAGTCTAGTAAAGAGAAGGACCAGGGGAGACAGGATAGTGATCTTCCAATATTTGAGGGGTTGCTACACAGAAGAAAGGGTCAAGCTATTTTCTAAAGCACCCGAAGGCCAGACAATGAATAATGGATGGAAACTAAACAAGGAGAGATTTAACCTGGAAATAAGGAGAAACTTTCTGACAGTGAGAACAATCAACCCGTGGAACAGTTTTGCTTTCGGAAGTTGTGGGAGCGCCATCACTTGAGACTTTCAAGAAGAGATTGGACCACCATTTGTCAGAAATGGTGTAGGGTCTCCTGCTTGGGCGGGGGGTTGGACGATGACCTACAAGGTCTCTTCCAACTCTGATTATCTGTTATCTGCTATTCATGAAGGTGATCTTCAGTGTCAGAGTTCCAAGTAATACACCCAGTGCAAACAGAACTCCAAGGCAGGTCAATTCCTCAAAGAACAGTTTTATTTGGAGATGTCATCTTGGCATAGACTTTTCACCTCATTAAAAAGTGAAATTTTCCTGTTTCCCCCAAACAATAAGTCACATTGTCCTATCTGAGTGCTGGCTGGTTGCCTGGTTACTTTTCTTCTCCTCCTCTAGCCAGCCAGCTGTTGGAATATCCTTGACTCATAAAAGTACTATTTTGTTTTAGCTACAAAATCCCAGTTATCTCTACATTCCCCACTCCCTGTCCCACAGCGGTGTCAAGCCTGAAGCTGTGTGAAGAAAAATCCCTATAGAACAGGGCTATTAAACCCCTGGTCCAAGGGCTGGATGTGTCACGTGCTGGCCATGCACACACACAGTTTAGTCCTGATACATCACATGATGCCGCTGTGACGATGTATTTTCTTGCAAACATTTCATTACCAAGCAAGGTAACATCATCAGAAATGTCTGCAAGAAAACTATCAGAGAGTAGTAAGGACCCCAAACTAGGCAGTCCATTTTAGCTTAGGTTCACCAGCCTAGCAACCATATGATCTGAAGAAATAAATATACAAATAAACAAAGAGTGTGACCTTAGAAGTTGACAGCCCTGATTTATAATGAATTTTTCCCCCTTTATTTCTTAACTAGAAGTTGATTTTTGACTATTTTCAAAGAGGAGCAGTTTTGTAATATTTTATATACCCCAGCTTTCTTTCTTCATCATACTTTTATAATATTTTAGTAAAACTAATAGAATAAGAAAATAATACATTTTTAAAAATACATTTTATTCCAAAATTTAATATGAATTTATCACCAAGCTTTAAAATCATGGATAGATAAAGAATGGGGGAATGCATGTTAATATGGACATGACCAGGAAATCAATTGGTTGTCACTTAATGTTTAAATCTTTTGCTCAATTCTCCAGCTTCATTAACTAGAAAAAATATTTTATTGCAGCGTGAAATAGTTAGAGATTTCATATTTGCTCAAGTGAAGCCTAGAGGTTATTTGGCTAATGTTCATGTCTTGCACCACCATTTTCCATGGATGGTGAGTCCTGACATTTTTCTCTGGCATTTCTTCTTTTTCTGCTTAGTCTCTGCCTCAGTCCAGGTGTGTGGAAAATTGTCATCCTGGATTTGTCAAGCAGGTTCGGGAAGGAGCGCCAGTTTGCTGCTATGATTGTGTTCCTTGTCCAGAAGGGACCATCTCCACTCAGGAAGGTGGGTGACACCAAAGAAAAGGGCGGGCCTTGTGGAACTACATCCAGAGCATTTTCAGGAAATTGCAAGTTAAATGACAGATCGAAGCTCAACTGTTTTCTCCTTCCTTATCTAAAGGGAAGAAGAGCCAAAAAAATGGGCAAGCTTCATTATTATTAGGGAAAATATCTCTTCTGCTTTTTAGTTTGCATGTCTCCTTCCACGTTTACCTTGCTAGGAGCATTTGAGTTCTTGGAAACTTGAGGAATTGTCTTATGTCCACCTCCTGGAAGGTTTATTGTGTTGCAATGAATTCTATATAGACCTTCTCTTGAGGATAGCGGAGAAGGAGTCACTGGTTCACAAGGTGGCAAGGGAACAGTTATGGGTCACCTCATTACACCCATGTTACAACTGTTCCCAATAACTTTTCCAGATTATTTTCAAGTCTAGCTTTCTCTGGCAACCAATGAAATTTCACAAGATACAATAGGCATTCTCTGAGTCTAGTATATTAAGAAGTGCCATCTTCCAGGACTTAGGAAGTTTTACAAGAAAGGTTAATTCATTCATTATTTAACTTTAATAATGTAGCTTCCTATGAGGGATCTGCACACTACATAGGAAATCATTTAAGTCCTATGTTTTCTCCCAATTTCATAGACTATTAGAAGTGTAGCATTTTTTTAAAAAAAAAGAAAATTATATACTTCTTGTTTTGCTTCTGTAAAAATGTTGAGAAATGCATCTTGGAAAATGCTCCTGTTATTAATTGTTGTCCCTAGAAAAGTACTGCTTGAAGGGTGAAAGGATGGATATTAAAGGTTTTTGGTTTTTTTTAAATTTTCTCAGATACAGAAAAATGCACCAAGTGTACAGATGATAAATACCCAACTGAGGACCGAGTCCAATGTAACCTCAAAGTTATAACCTTCCTTTCTTATGAAGAATATTTGGGTATCATTCTGGTCTCTTTTGCCCTGCTTTTGTTCCTAACCACAGGCTTTATTTTAGTCATATTCTTTAAATACAGAGAAACCCCCATCGTCAAAGCCAACAACCGGGACCTTTCTTACATCCTCCTGGTCTCCCTCCTGCTTTGCTTCTTGACTTCTTTTCTCTTCATTGGTCAAGCAAGGAAAGCCACCTGCCTTCTCCGGCAAACCATTTTCAGCATAATCTTCTCAGTTGCCATTTCTTCTCTCTTAGCCAAAACAATCACAGTGGTGCTGGCTTTCCTGGCTACAAAACCAGGAAACCAAGTGAAGAGATGGCTGGGGAAGAGCTTGGCCAACTCCATCATCCTCTCTTGTTCTGCTGTCCAAATTATCATCTGTTCCATCTGGCTTGGTGTTTCTCCCCCATTCCCTGACTCTGACTTCCACTCTCAGCCTGGAATGATCATACTGCAGTGTAATGAAGGGTCTGTTGCCATGTTCTACATCACTCTTAGTTACATGGGCTTCTTAGCTGCCATCTGCTTCACGGTGGCTTTCCTAGCCAGGAATCTCCCTGGGGCCTTCAACGAAGCCAAGCTGATCACCTTCAGCATGCTGGTCTTCTGCAGTGTCTGGGTGAGTTTTGTGCCCACCTACCTGAGCACCAAAGGGAAATATATGGTGGCTGTGCAGGTCTTCTCCATCTTTTCCTCCAGTGCTGGGCTGCTTGGCTGCATCTTCATCCCAAAGTGCTACATTATCATTCTGAGGCCAGACCTGAATACAAAGGAACAGCTTACAACCAGAAGAAATATAGAAATGTGAGGCAGAGTCATTTTAAATCTCAACATTTTCTAACAGTCCACACCTAGAAAATTTTCCCAGCTGCTCTCCATACATGAGTGGGCCAATGATTTTGCAATAATTAAAGTGTGTTTGGAAGACAATATCCCCAACTTTGTAAGTGAAATACTTTTATCTTTGCAAAAGAGCTTCTTTGCCTAGCTTTAAATATAAATCACATGGCATTTCAGGCAAATCACATGGTAATTTAGGCAAAACAAAAACATTTATTAAAAAGGTGAGCTCAAGTCTTTTTATAGGGTGTAGAAACAAATGATACATATATTTACAATATGTGGTGCAACAGAAAGCAAGTAATCAAACAATAAAAGACACTGGTTACATATGATACTTAAACAATGGAAACTTTTGTTCTACATAACATTCCACAAGTGGCAAATTTATCAATTACATTATTTTTTTTCCAGTACGGTTTGCACTATCTTAAAGCTAGCAAATGTATTCAAGTGGTTTCAAGTCTATTTATAGGGCACAGAAACAAATCTTACATACAGGACATTTGGTGTGTGTAATACCTCAGAAAGCAAGTGATCAAGCTATAAAAGTTAATTTTATTGTTAATTTTTTTTTTTATTTTGGTGTTGAATATTTAATCTTGATTTTTCTTGATTGTAAACCACCTAGAATCAGCTCTTGTCAAGATGGGCCTTGACTCTGCTCTTGGATCTTAGGCCAACTTTACATGAACCCTTTTCCATGCTCCTTAAAAAACACGCTTTGCAGAATGAAGTTGCTCCAAATGATCAATTTCATGAAGAGTCAGCAGATTCTTCAAAATTAATAGAAAGTGAATGTCTGGACATCATGTAAGAATTAATTCAGTTGTGCTTGCAGATAGATTATCTGTCAGCATTCCAACTAACCAACTCCATACCTATAAAGTCTGAGACAAGCATTTCCTCAAAGTTCCATTTTATTAGAGTTGTCATATTGGCATAACTGGGAAACCCTGAATCTGAGAGTTCCAGGTTTTCCCTTCCCAAAAGAAAATCAAAGATCTGTCCCCTGCACCCACCAGTCCATCACATGGCCCAATCAAATCATTGTCCCAACTGGAGACATTCCCCAGCCACTCCTCTCCTCTCCAAGAGCAGGGCAACATGTCCTGGACTCTCTGAGAAAGAATGTTGTTGAGTCTAATCTTCTACCTCTCTATGAAATCCACCCTCCCAAATTCCCAGGCACTAAATGTGGCAGCCTCAAATCTTTCAAGTAGCCTAAAGGCCAGAATCCATAGTAACAAACCTATTATCATGCCTACAACACCTCAGCCTCTGTTTACTGCTGGAAAAAACTACTGAGGAACCCATGCAGATTGAGGATGCATGGCCTAAACAGATTAAACAGATTAGACAGATAATCAGAGTTGGAAGGGACCTTGTAGGTCATCTACTCCAACGCCCTGCCCAAGTGGGAGACCCTATACCATTTCTGACAAATGGCAGTCCAATATCTTCTTGAAACTCTCAAGTGTTTGACAGATGCTGAGAATAGTTTGACAGATGCTGAGAAGGAACAGAGCCTGGGGGGGGCTTTATTTATATGGCGGTGGCCTGGGACATAGGGCAGCAAAATACTCTATCAAGAAATCCAGCTCAGCCTCTTGGTTTAGGTTTAGGTGGGATACAAATTGGGGCAGGTTCTTGCAAATGAAGCCCAAAGACTGTCTCCTACTCCATCAAAACACTGAGAGGTTTTAGTGGGATTACAACTAACTTCATGGACTTCCGGTTTGTAGTGGGTTGATGTCATTCCTACATACACTAGTGCAGAGGTGGGCAACTATGGCCCCTTTATGACTTGTGGACTTCAACTCCCCAAATTCCTGAGCTAGCATGGCTTGCTCAGGAATTCTGGGAGTTGAAGTCCATAATTCATAAAAGGGCCATAGTTGCCCACCCCTGCACTAGTGGTTAAATCAACTGATGGCCATTCACTATAATCCTGTACTATGGCTTGAGCTACAATTCTGTTGAAAATTTCCTTCCTTTGCCACTCATTTTGAAACCCCTACAATGCTTCCAAAATGCTTGTTGTTTACCAACCTGGACTTTAGGGGTGCTTCTACTGTGTACATTATACAAAATGTCTTTTCGCTCTGGAGCTGGATGGAGCAGAACCATCAAACCATTACTGGCCATCTCAGTGGAGGGGTCTTTTCTGTAATAATAGCTATCTTGAAATCACAGCATTTTAACAAATATCCATATACTGAAATTGTTGGGTAAGTCATCCTTCTGGAAGTGTCATTATTGCCAGTCCGCTCACACATGATTCCAAAACCTCTGAGCATTTCTCAGATTTTTATCATGTCTGCTTTGTCAACTCATAAAATATTTCTCTGGTCTTTTAAAAATTGCCAGCAGAAAGGGAAAGGGAAGTAGTACATCCCTTAAATGCTTTCATAGGTAATTTCTAGGCAACCGAAGTTTCTGGTGTGCAAGATTATAACTGCAGAGCAACTCTTGGCTATGGATGTGTCACATTGGAAAATATACATCCCGAGGGTGGTGGAAAACCAGGGTCAAGGCTGAAATGAGTGATGTGTCTCAGAGTCGGCTACACCCAGGTCATGTTCACTGTCATGTTCACTCCTAATAAATCTTCTTTAAGCTCTGAAAGATCTGGCTAGAGGCTCATGATTTAAATGGGGGTAAATACCAACATGCTTTGCCTGTCCCCTTTAGTGAATTACCATCCTATTCTGCCTGTAGTAGAAATGGTTAGGATGTTTCAGTACCAGAAACATAGCACAGGTTGATGGTGGGATAAAACCAGTGGTGGTATTCTACTGGTTCAGCTCAGTTGTGGTGTACCAGTAGCGCCAAAGATCAGTGAAGACTGAATCAGTTCTCTCTGAGGAGCTGCCATTGGGCCCTCCTGCCTGCCTGGGCTTCCATACTGACCTTTATTCCCTGCTTTTGGAGCGCAGCTGCATTGCACAGCACAGCAGATTGCCATGCATCAGCTGCTGAAGTGACAGGGAGCATGCAAGATTGCAGCAGGTGAGTCAGATGCATCTGCGCAAAATGTGTGTTTGGTGTGTGCATGTACACAAAGTGTGTGCACGTGCACAAAGCGTGCCCACCAAGTCACGCCCACCAAACTGGTGGTAAACTATTTTGAAATGGACCACTAGATAAAACCCATGATTGGAGCACAGAACTAGGTTATCATTTGTTCGAAAGAAACAGACTCAAATAACAGAGTTGGAGGTGGGGAGGTTGCATCCTATGTAAGGAATTACTGTATTACACCTCCATAGAAATATACAATACTAGGGATGAAAGCCTTCTTGAAAGTATTTGGGTAAATATTACAGGAAAAAGAAATGACTTTACTATTGGTATGTACTACAGGGCACCCAACCAGCTGGAGGAAATAGAAGAACTCTTTGCTAATAAGTTAGCTGAGGTGTTCAGGAAACAAACCACTGTAGTAATGGGGGGCATTAACTAACCTGACATCAACTGGGAAACAAACTCTGCAGGGAGTGTGAGATCAACTTTATCATTCAAAAGGTAGACAAGGGAACCAGAGGGACAGCTATACTGGACTTAATCCTTACCAATTGGGATGAAATGGTTGAGGAAGTAGAAGTTATAGGAACTTTGGGGGAGAGTGACGATAGCTTATTTCTTGACAAGAGAGAAAAATATGGATTAGACACCTCAACCACCAGATAGATTTGCAATGCTGACTAACCATACCCCATATGTAATTCTCAATGGAGCCCTAAAAGAAGTCTAGAAACCCCAGAGGACAAATTGCTTCTCACTGTCATTATCGCGGTCTCGGTGTTTGCAACAATTTCCTCTACTTTTCCAGTGATGGCCTTTGATGTAAACATCAGACTAAAAGAACAAGGAAGGGATCTTTTATCAGAAAAGGATAAACGCCTTTGTGGACAAAAGTTCTGGGACAGGCTCTTCAGTGTACTTTCCCCTTTACAGATGAATCTTGGTTTCTCTCTTTTTGAATAAAGAAAGCCACTGCATGTCTATCTTGTGGGAGTGCTTTGAATTCACCTAGTTCTTTTCGTTTTTATTTTCAGCAGGAAAGAAATTGATTCAGCTCCTTCAATAATGGACCTTCTGCTTCTGCTGCTGCTGCTAGTGCCCCAGCCAGTCGCTGGGAAGCTTAGAATGAAGTACCTCCTGTATTTCAAGAACCAAGGTGAAAAAAAAACGTGGAGCTACTACAGGCCAGGAAACCATCTCATTAGTATAGTTGTCACTGCAACAAAATTATCAGATATAATGTTGCCTTTCAACATGGCTCCATATCATCAGTCTCAATCGTAAGTCATCCATTCCCTCTGTTTGCAATTCTGTCTCCATTTTTTATTTCCCTTGCTCTTATGTTACAGAATTGATCTAATTTCTTGGATTGGTTTAATTTCTGTGTCTTATTATGTGGAAGGGACTCAAATCCAAAGATGGGACAGAAAATTATTCAAAGAAGTTCAGATTATTTCCCTCTCTTCATCCAATCCTATTGGTCAGTTGAATACTTGGTTTGGTTTAAGATATGATTGAAATGGTTGTGGTTAGCCTGGCATAACCCATTTTCATATATTTTAAATTGTTCATTTGTAATCAATTCCTGATCTTTATAATAATAGAGAATTACTTGTTTGTTTTTAGAGTTGCTTTTCTGGAACACTTATGAAATAGCCTCCTCTTTTTGTGATGGTTCTACTTTAGTGGTTGAATGAAGTTGACTCCTGCTTACTGGAGTGATGATGAAAATTAGTACTCCTGTAATTTAATGGTTTATTTGTGATCCTTAACCCTGGTGGAGGACTATCTCCATCCCATTTTCTCAACAAATCACAAATAGTAAATGATGATGGTGACTAATTTTAGTGCCTGATTTTGGATCAGTATTGACTCAGTAGACTTATGGAGACAGAGCGGATTATATTGAAAAAGAAACCTGTTGTGGTGTTTCTATTGTTG